ACAGTAAGTGCCAGTGAAAGGGTAGTAACTAAAAAGAAAAGGGTATCTGGAGGATCCTGGTATTCAACGATGTTCTATTTTTTTTTTTTTTTTTTTTGGTCACTTGAAAATTATACTCTGACTTGCAATCCAGAGTCCCACAAACTTGCTGAGAGTGGCAACGCAGTGGTCACTGCACATGGAATCAAACTGTGGCCCGAGCAACATCTGGTGGTGAGGAGAGAGGTCTCTGGAAAGAGGTAAAAAGACTGCATGGATAGCCGCCACACTAAGGTAATTATCATTAATGGGTTTGAGGGAGAAAGAAATGGGGATGGGACACAATCTCACAATGGCACGGGCTCTGGGGTGGCTCACAAAAGATTCACGGAGAAGTTGCTCTTGGTTTGAGAGACAGGCAATTTTCAAAGGCTTCATATCTTAAAGACTTCCAAATTTCTCACAACAGATGGTGGGGGGGTGGAGAGTTTAAAGAGTATTAAATTGTACACCTGAAACTAACATTACACAGTATGTTAACTAACTGGAAGTTAAACAAAGACTTAAAAATAATAAAAAATAAAGAGCATTAAATAAGGGTCAGGAAGACTTGTTTCTGACGCTTGTTCTGCTTCTACATGTAATCTTGGCTGTTTCATTACACCTCTTTTGTCTTTATTTTCCTGCTCTATAAGATGAGTTCCTATATTGGTCCAAAAAGAGTCTGTACTTCAAAATATGGGAAGTTTATACCAAATGAAACATACACAAAACTGAGATTTGGGTGAATAAGAAATGAGTCATTCAGCTCTTGGAAATGGACACCAAATCTTAAGAAAATTCTTTCTTAAAGAAAATTCTTTCTTAAACCTAAATAAGCATAAACATTTTTCCAAGAAGTACGAGAGAGAGACACAGAGAGACAAAAACAGAACATAGAAACACAGTGTCATAGTAGTGATAATCTGTGCTGTGGTGCTGAGAAAGATACAGTGTAACCTAAATCTTGAACACCTTGAAACACTGGTAACAGCCGAACAAGGAGAAAGAATTTATTGTCCACACAGCAATGACTGCAGTTGTTTTTCTCTTTGCTATATCCCTGTTGGTTCTCCACTGGCCCCCATAGAGAACGAGGAGAGACAGAAGAAAGAGGCAGACCACTCCAGATTAGGAGGAAGCAGGCATCATGAGCAAGGAAATTTATGAGGTATCTCTTGGGCAGTAACAAGATAAGTTGATCACTGCACCTGAGTGCCTGAGTCTCAAAAATTTATAGAGACACACTGATGAGGTTAAGTCATGTGTACCATCAGGACGGTCTCAATAACACATTACCCTCTCAAGACTACATCCCTCGAATGGCTCTGGCTATGGGAACTGTGAGCAGAACATCCGTTCCAAGTGCTGTGGAGGGGGGGAAGTGAAGTCCTGCTGCAAGTCAACCAGCGGTCATGTCCTCTAGATGACCTCCTCCAACAATCCCCATAGTACCTCTCATGGTAGGGGGGTGGGAAGGATTTATGCTCAGCTAGTTCAAATGAAGAGATTTTGTTTCCTCCTTTGAATGAAACTCGCTATACTCTTGAGTTGTTTTTTCTTTTCTTTTCTTTTTTAAATTTCTCCTCAACCTGGTGAATTTCTGAATGGTAAAATAATCTAAATCAAGGCCAGTTCCATAACTTTATATTTTCTCAGACAGGCCTCTGATCTGAGAGACTCGTGGGAAGATTTTGGAAGGAGAATGATGGAGAGTGTGTGCAATATTGTGACTTATAAGAAATATATATTTGGTCTTTTTCTGTGGTTCCAGCTCCTAAGCCCCCTGGAATTTCTGAAGTGATGAAGATTTAAAGTTATTATATTAATTATATTATATTAATTATATTAATGAGGTGACTTATGGACCTAAAGATGGGTGCTGGTCACCAGAGGAACCAATCATGTGATTAGAGGGTCAAATATTTCAGTCCCACACCCTGACCTCCAAGGATAGGGAGAGAAGCTGAAAGTCAAATGCTTCCTCAATGGCCAATGATTTAATCAATTATGCTTATGTAATGAAGCCTCCATAAAAACCAGAAAGAATAGGTTTCAGAGAGCTTCTGAGTTGGTGAAGACATGGATGTTTTGGGAGAGTGGGGTGCCTGGGGAGGGCACAGAAGTTCTGCATCTTTTCTCACACCTTGCCCTTCACATCTCTTCTATCTGGCTTTCCCTGAGTTATACTCTTTTATAGTAAACTGGTGATCTACTAAGTACAATGTTTCTCTGAGTTCTGGGAACAGCTCTAGCAAATTAATTGAATGGGAGGAGGAGGTTAGGAACCACTGACTGATAGCCAGTTTGGTCCAAAGTACAGGTAACAACCTGGTGTTTCCATTGGCCTCCCAAATTGGAAGGGTCCTTGGAGCCTCTAGCTTTTAACCAGTCAGTCAGAAGCCAGGGAACAGCTTGGGCTAGCTACTGACATCTGGAGTGGCAAGGGGGTGGCAGGGGCACAGTGGTAGCCTTGCAGTCAACTGTAGAACCTGATGCTATTTCCTGGTTGAGAGTGTCAGATAGGAATTGGGTCCAGAAATTTCATTCAGTAAGCCCTGGTAACAATGCAATGCAGAGCAGCAGGAGTTGGTGACGATGGTAATCCTAACCTGTTTTATGTCTCTCATTCTAACCATCTCAGAACACAGGAAAAGAAGCTTGAGACAAGACAACTATCTATGTATCAGTACACCATTCCTTTTTATGGCTGAATACTATTGCAATATAGGGATATGCATTCATTTTTTGATGGACATATGGAGTTTTTCCCACCTTTTTTATACTATTATGAATAATGTTGTAAATGTTCTCATACATGACTTTGTGTGAACACATGTTTTCATTTCTCCTTCCCTATCCCTAGGAGTAACATTGCTGGGTCACATGGTAACTCTATGTTTAGTGAAAACATTATGCTAAGTGAAAATAGTCACAAAAGAGCACACACTATATAACCTCACTTGCTCAAAAGTTAAAAATAGGAAAATCTACAGAAACAGGATGTATAATAATGTTTGTGTAAAGCAGAGAGTAGAGGGGATTGTATAAGAGAATAATAAGTAAAGGGTAAGGGGTTTCTTTTGGATGTGACAAAATGTTCTAAAATTGTGAGGATGCTTGCATCTATTTGTGAATATATTAAAAACCAACAAAGTACAGTTTAGGTGAATTGTGTGGTATGTGAATTGTATCTCAATAAAATTATTAAAGATAAATTGGAAAACACATTCATATCAAACTTAAAAAAAATGTACGTGGGAGACTTTTGTCTTACCCAGAACCATCTATCCATGCTTGACCTTGGTTATTCCTTCCAAGTAATCCTATGTTGGTGTAAGCAAGGCTACTCTGTGTTTGCCACTGTCATAGCATCTTCCACTTGCACCAGATTTGTGTGTTTCATGGCTATCTTTACATTAGATTTCTATCCCTTTGGGAGGTGAAGTGATATCATACTAATAATTATTTCCCTAGGGCCAGGCACAGAGTCTGGAGTACAATGGATAAAAAATCAATATGTTACATGGACAAATACCCCAAATCATTTTCCCCACTGGAGATTTAGAGAGTTTTCATAAGGAAGCATACAAGAGGATTTCACTTGGAGTGGCCAATTCTGTTAAGTGACAACTTAGACTTCTCATTAAAGTGGTACTCGGCTAGCAAGCTTCAGACACAGCCTCTTAAACTTATGACCAAAATACTTAGAAGGACATGGATAAAGACAAAAATTCACACCATCCTTAAATGGCCACTGATGGTTTATGAGCTAAGAATTATGACTGAGAGAGGATTAAAATAAACCAATACCCAAACAAGCAGACATCAGTAAATGTCTGTTGTTGAATCACCTTTTCAGGTAGAAGAGTCTGTCTCTCCCTCTGCACCTGCCCCCCCACCCCCTGCCCATGGGCACATGCTAGGTCTCTCTCTCTCAAATAAGTAAATAAATCTTTAAAAAAAAGTACAGAGAATTTGTATATTGCTATAAAGATTTAGAATTAACATAAGTGCTATAATTAAAATTTATGTTACTCATTTGTAAGTCTTCTTTGGAGACGTGTCTGTTCATGTCTTCTGCCCATTTTTTGATGTGATTATCTGTTCTGTAGGTATGTTGAGTTTGAGGAGTTCTTTATAGATCTTGTATATCAGCCCTTTGTCTGTAGTGCTATTTGTGAATATCTTCTCCCATTCCTTGAGTCGTCTCTTTGTTTTGTTGACTGTTTTCCTTTGCAGTGCAGAAGCTTTTGATCTTGATGAAGTCCTAAAAGTTCATTTTTGCTTTTGTTTCCTTTGTCTTTGGAGACGTGTCTTGAAAGAAGTTGTTGTGGCCGATGTCGAAGAGGTTACTGCCTATCTTCTCCTCTAGGATTTTGATAGACCCCTGCCTCACGTTGAGGTCTTTTATCCATTTTGAGTTTATCTTTGTGTATGGTAGAATGGAGGAGATAGATTATGCTGAGTGATATAAGTCAAGCAGAGAGAGTCAATTATCATATGGTTTCACTTACTTGTGGAGCATAAGGAATAACACGGAGGACATTGGGAGATGGAGAGGATAAATGAGCTGGGGGAAATCGGAGGGAGATACAAACCATGAGACTGTGGACTCTGAGAAACAAACTAAGGGTATTGGAGGGGAGGGGATGGAAGGTTTGGTGAGCCTGGTGGTGGGTATTAAGGAGGCACGTATTTCATGGAGCACTGGGTGTGGTGCAAAAACAATGAATCTTGGAACACTGAAAAAGAAAATAAAATTACAAAAAAAAAATTATGTTACTCAAATAAGATAGTTCTAAATGGAAATGAATAGCCTTGAATTCATATGGTAGGGGACTCTTCTTTTTATTATCAACAATAGTTTTATCCTTACTAAGTCTTTGGGGCTTGAAGTCTATTTTAACGGATAATAATAAAGATATAGATTTATTTTGATTAATAATTTCTGTTTTCTTTTCTTCTATTTCAATATTTAGGTACCTCTATATTTGGAATCTTATTTGGGGCAATGAACAGGTATATACAAATTCAAGAAAAAAATTAACTTTCTAATAAATGAATTAGTCTTCCAATCTTTAAGTGATATCTCTTTATCCTTAATAAAACTTATATTTTAAAGTCCATATTGTTTGTTATTTTATACTATAGTTCTACCTCATTTTTAAACCACTCAAACTACTTGATATTGTTACTGGTATTATGGTCAGTATATATATAATTTCCTATATCTTTTACCCAGTTGTATTTGCTCACCATTCTATTTTTCTGGATTTTTTTGTTCTCCACAATGAGTACTTGGTTTAGTCACTCTTTCACTGGGAAGCTGTGAATGGTAAATCTTCTCAGTGTTTCCTTCCAAGTGTCTGTATTTAATTTCATTCTCACATCATAATATATTAAACTATGAAACTGTATGTTTGGAGACTCTTTTCTGTTAGTATTTTGCATATGTCTTTGTATTGTCTTCTGTACTTAATAATTAGTTAACTTTTTAAAAAAATTAATCTGTTTTTTTCTACCAGGTTCTTTTTTAAGATTTGTGTTTTTATTTGATTTCTTGTTTTACTGTAATATTTTTGGAAGTCTATTTTATTTGCTCTGCTTGCAGCTCACTGTGCTTCTTAAATTGAGAACTAATGTTCTATAATTCTGTAAAAATTTCACTCATCCATAATTATTAATCATCTTTGCAATTTCCCTGAACCAGGGGGTATGAAGTCCCATCCAGCCTGTCCCTGAGGGGCAACCTTTTCACACTGCTGACTGTGCAAAGTTTCATCTCTCCTTCTTTTAGAGGCTTAAGGCCAAATCTCTGCCCTACATAGGTGTGGAAACCTTGTCTCTTAGCTTTAAGTTCCTATCTGGATTATTGTTTTCATGGGCACTAAGTGCAACAGATTGATAAATGTTCACACAAGCTTTTGATTCTCTATTCATGTCTGGAATTCAGAATTTCCCTTTCTGCCTTTTTCCCTTCTTTTCTTTCTTCCTCTCCCCCGTCCTTCTACCCTTTCTTTCTTTTTGACTTCTACCAATTAATTATTTTTAAAATATTTTTGCATAATTTAAATATATTTTAAAGCATGATGGAACTCTTTAGTTTTTCTCTTCATATTTCTATGAGTATATATTATATTTGTAATCCAAAAAAAAGAAAGGAAAATAATCACATATATCTTGAGGAATCTAATAAAATAAAGCTTATAGCTGACAGAGTCTCATAATTTTTCTTAATTTAGATACTAAAAGAAAAATATGACTTTCATTAAGAAAATAAGTCTGCTAACACAACTCTTGGCTGAAAAGATTCTAAGCCATCAACCTGCAATGTAGACACATAGGCTGACTGAGGTAGGGTCTAGGCTATCAGATCAAAGAAAATCTTTCCTTTCTTCTGTCTTTCTGACAGAGCCCTGATGTCCTCAGCTCACCCTTTGTAGAAGATGGCCTTCTTTGGGCTTTACATTTAATGATTATACCTCAGTGAATTGAACTGAGTCATACAGTTGGCATGAAAGTCTATCTGAAAGCTGTCAGCTCCGTACATTCCTAGTTTATTTAAAAAAAAAACTATCATCTCTTGACAGGGTGAAAGAAGGGAATCAGGATGGTTTTGTAGTCATGCGATTAGGAAAGACACAGTTGAAGTTGTGTATAACATGGCATAGGTGGAAGTTCTTGCTTCTGAGGAAAACCAGCAGATTTTTCCAGAGTCTCTCCTTCCTCAGAACTACTTGCAAAATGAGTTGAATGCAGGGCATTTGCCTCATCTCTTCTTTCATAGTGACATAAGTCCAGTAAGTTCAGGCTGCGTCACAGTTGTTTTTCTAGCATGAAGCATATGTTTTCTCTGTGTTTCAATGCCTCTGATCATGTGATGCCTTTGTGCCCAGCAGTAGTTTTCAAAGGGCTTTACAAATATCAGATCTTTGATGAGTAAGTGATCAGAAAGAATGAAGCATTCTATGCCTGGGAATTTAGTTATAACTATAAAGTTCTCAGAGGGTCAAGAAGAAGTTTCTCAATCCCTTAGACTGTCTGATCCTTGAACCATTTAAAATAGAAATATTAGGAAGCAGAATCTTAGTAGCACAAAGATATATTTGTTCCTAAGCTTAATTTTTAATAAATTGAGATAATATGGGATGAAAGAAATTGATAGTATAAAATTTTGTATAATTCTTTCATATTCATTTTCTAACGTTTCTTAGAACTGCTTTATATAAGGAACAAATTCAGTATATATGAATTCCACTTTTTGAATTTTATCTTTTAAGTAATGGCATGTCCTCTAGGAAAAAGATGCATAAAATACAAGGGAAAGGATATGTAATTTTTGAAGAGCTAGGATAGAAACCTCTTATTTTAATGATATCTAACTTAATTGTCACAGTAATCCTGTTAACTAATCTTATTATCCCTATTTTACATACATATATACATAAATAACAAAATAAAATGAAGCTAAAGTGAAGTTAATTACTGGTATAAAACAAAACTCCCTTGTTTTAAAGCCTATTTGTGTTTGTTTGTTTGTTTGTTTGTTTGTTTTATTTTGCTATGCATCATGATTGACTCTAGATAAAAGGCTATATTATTGGCCACTGGATAAAAGGAAGATATTTGACAAAAGTAACAGTGTTTACATCTAAGTGAGGGAACCAAGCTCTAGCAAATGTGCTATCACCGAACTTCTAGTTCAGAAATCTTGCTAATTCCCTTATAGACTTGACATTATTGATTGACTTTTTTCACACATGCAATATTTATCATTGATTTAGTCTGACAGCCACTTGAATAGCACAAAATCATTACACTGTGTCCATAATAAGGGTTATATATTTTATAATGAGACGACAGCTATGAAATGTTGGCCTAGTCCTCGATGGTGATCAGTCAGGGCCAATGGTGAAGGAACTGGGTTGCAGTAATGAGGAAGCACTTTTTCTTGTTTGTCATGACCTTGCTATATCTCCTTTTCTCTATTTTCACTTAAAGTAATCCCATCCATTTGTCCACATGACCCCTAATATCTATACACCATGAAGTATATAATATGCAGCCTTTAAACTCATCCCTAAATCATGTCGGTTTTCACACTGCTAATACAGAAGTCATATCTTCTCATTAATTCTACTTTTCAACCATAATTAGATACTTGAAGTCTTAAATGCATCCTGTCATCTCTGTATTTTGCTGCTCCCTTACCTGAGCTATACTCTCTTCCCCTACACTTGTTTACCCATACCATTTTTCCTTCAAAACTCAATGCAGGCATCATCTCTCCCCAGGAAGCTGTCTGACAGTCTTGTCTCCCCAGGTCACTTCACAGATGAGATGGGGAGATATGAGATGGAACATAGGTCTCTACCATGTTCCTCTCATTCCCTGCACATAAATCCCAACAGAGAGAGATCTAGTGAGAACAGAGGTATTATAACTGCACTGGTATGTTCAGACTCCGGATCCATCAGTTCTTAGTTGCATGCCCTTGGGTAAGTCATTCAAACTTTCTGGACCTCATTTTCTTTATTGGTAAAATTAGAATAACCATTTTATTCTGGTTTGCCCTGAAGATGAATGATGGTATGTGAAAGGCACAAAATAGGGGTTTTGCTGGATGTTGTTCTTTTGGCCTTCCAGGTCCATTCTTTGCCTTCTGTGCCTCATTCTGGGACACATGAGGCTGAGTACAAAAACTGCATTAATGGGCTCCTTGTTCCTCTGGCTTGAGCTTGGCTTCACTCACAGAGGTACACAGAAATAAAGATCAAAGGGCAGAAGGAAAGTGAAGTCAGAGGTCAAGGTATTTAGTCCCCAAATCCTTTTTTGCTTTGTAGCCAGAGGTTGTCTGCATCCTTCTAAAAGGCCACAGCTCCTGTCAGCTGGCTCAGTCAATACAGTGACCTTCTCTGTTCCAGCAATTGTTCCCTCCCCTTGCCCTTCATGTCCAGGATGCTGCATTATCTCTTGTTCATTTCCTTTAACTCTTCTACCCAAATTGTAAATAGTTCCTTTATTAAACCCTCCTCAAAAAGCCAGCTTCAGTGTGTCAGCTGTTTTCTGCCAGAGCCCTGACAAATATCACATTCAATATTATTAGCAATGTGCACTTAACAAACTGTTGTGTAATTGTCTCTTGATTTCTCTGAATCCCTTGCCAGACCATGAACTACTTCAGAGCAAGGATCATAGTTTATTTGTCACTGTTATTCTCTGTTATCACGTACAAAGCTTGGCAAAATATAACCACTCAATAAATGTTTGTTGATTAATTAGATGAGGGAAGGGATGCATATTATTCTGACTCCCTAAGAGTAGACATTGCCCTTTATTCTTGAGCACAGTGCTTCCAAATGGGTGACATAAATACAAGTCTGCTATAATGAATGTGAATTTTTCCAGATATCAGAGTTTAAGATGATTAAAAGGAATGTTTCAAGGCAAATTATTCTTGGGGACAGTCGACAGACTATCAGGGTAAGTGCCACTTGAAAATAACTTACAAGGATAAGCAGAACTGAATGAACTCTAGAGAGGACACAAAAGTTGAGTTTGGGAGAGCATCTTCATAAATCCATACTTAGTTTTACAATCTATGTAATCATTTGGAGAAAACTGTGTTGAAAAGGGAAACATTCTATAGATTATTTAGGTAAACATTTTTTTAACTGTTGCCTCGTTTTGAACATTACCATGGCTCATTCTTTTGGGACAATACCATTTAAAGTATAATCACTGGGGTAATTTTATTTTCCCTTCACCACAAGAGATATGTTAATTTTGTTAATTTAGTGGGGGAAGGAATAATTATGGGAATTACACCTTTAACTCTGTTCATCACAGGGATAAGTGGGTGCCCAGGAACAACAGGAGCAGCTCAGAAAAAGGCAATGGGTTTCAAATGGTTGATTAGAAATTCTGGGTTTTGATGGGGGCACTGATTCAGGATGAAATAGTTTAAACTTTAAGAGACAAGAAGATTGAGTCTGTGGATATACTTTGTTGTCTGAATCTATGAAAAAGTAGCATCATTCAAACAACCTTTGGAAGTAGACCACGCAGGTATTGTTACTTCTATTTTATAACTGTGGATGGTTAAAATCAGAGAGGTTAGGTGCTTTGCCTGAAATCACATGGAACATGGCAATACCAGAACTAATATGAACTAATCTGTGACCCAGTGCTTCCCACTTTACCAGGATGACTCATCCCACCCAGAGTTGACCACTTGTTTACCAGACTTTAATGAAAGTCCATTTATCATAGGCTTTTTTTCCCCAAAGATTTTCTTCTAATAGTTCTATGTGTTTATTTCTTATTATTGTGAATTTAATTTATCTATGTTGTTTTTTGGAACTTATAGGAAATGCTTTTTTTTTTTTTAATGATTTTATTTATTTATCTGTCAGAGAGAGAAAGAGAGAGAGAGCACAAGCAGGGGGAACAACAGACAGAGGAAGAAGCAGACTCTCCACTGAGGAGGGAGCCTGTTGCAGGACTCAATCCCAGGACCTTAACAGACTGAGCCACCCAGGTGTCCCATATGAGATGCTTTCTGATAATAAGAGATTATCTTTACTAAAAAAACACTTGGGGATTGCTCATGTTAACCCTCATTTTTTTCTTCTTAAAGAATTTACTTATTTATTTGACAGAGAGAGAAAGAGAACAAGCAGGGGAATGGCAGAGGGAAAAACAGGTTCCCTGCTGAGCAGGGAGCTCGATGTGGGGCTCAATCCCAGGACCCCAGATCATGACCTGACCTGAAAGCAGACACTTTACCAACTGAGCTACCCAGGCGCCCCTTGGTTTAAGTTTTGATGTCCTCCTAGAGCCACCCTTATTCTTTTTTTTTTTCTTCAGCATAACAGTATTCATTGTTTTTGTACTGTACCCAGTGCTCCATGCAATCAGTGCCCTCTCTAATACCCAGCACCAGGTTCCCCCAACCCCCCCCACCTCTTCAAACCCTTCAGATTGTTTTTCAGAGTCCATAGCCTCTCATTGTTCACCTCCCCTTCCAATTTCCCCCAAATGCCTTCTCTTAACTCCCCATGTCCTCCATGCTATTTGTTATGCTCCACAAATAAGTGAAACCATATGATAATTGACTCTCTCTGCTTGACTTGTTTCACTCAGCATAATCTCTTCCAGTCCCGTCCATGTTGCTACAAAAGTTGGGTATTCATCCTTTGATGGAGGCATAATACTCCATAGTGTATATGGACCACATCTTCCTTATCCATTCGTCTGTTGAAGGGCATCTTGGTTCTTTCCACTGTTTGGCAACCATGGCCATTGCTGCTATAAACATTGGGGTACCAGATGGCCCTTCTTTTCACTACATCTGTATCTTTGGGTTAAATACCCAGTAGTGCAATTGCAGGGTCATAGGGAAGTTCTATTTTTAATTTCTTGAGGAATCTCCACACTGTTCTCCAAAGAAGCTGCACCAACTTGCATTCCCACCAACAGTGTAAGAGGGTTCCCCTTTCTCCACATCCCCTCCAACACATGTTGTTTCCTGTCTTGCTAATTTTGGCCATTCTAATTGGTGTAAGGTGATATCTCAATGTGGTTTTAATTTGAATCTCCCTGATGGCTAATGATGAACATTTTTTCATGTGTCTGATCGCCATTTGTATGTCTTCATTGGAGAAGTGTCTGTTCATATCTTCTGCCCATTTTTTGATATGATTATCTGTTTTGTGTGTGTTGAGTTTGAGGAGTTCTTTATAGATCCTGGATATCAATCTTTTGTCTGTACTGTCATTTGCAAATATCTTCTCCCATTCCGTGGGTTGCCCCTTTGTTTTCTTGACTGTTTCCTTTGCTGTGCAGAAACTTTTGATTTTGATGAAGTCCCAAAAGTTTATTTTGGCTTTTGTTTCCTTTGCCTTTGGAGACATATCTTGAAAGAAGTTGCTGTGGCTGATATCGAAGAGATTACTGCCTATGTTGTCCTCTAGGATTCTGATTGATTCCTGTCTCATGTTGAGGTCTTTTATCCATTTTGAGTTTATCTTTGTGTACGGTGTAAGAGAATGGTCGAGTTTCATTCTTCTACATATAGCTGCCCAGTTTTCCCAGCACCATTTATTGAAGAGACTGTCTTTTTTCCACCGTATATTTTTTCCTGTTTTGTCAAAGATTAACTGACCAGAGAGTTGAGGGTCCATACCTGGGCTCTCTACTCTGTTCCACTGGTCTATGTGTCTGTTTTTATGCCAGTACCAGGCTGTCTTGGTGATCACAGCTTTGTAGTAAAGCTTGAAATCAGGTAACCGTGATGCTCCCAGTTTTATTTTTGTTTTTCAACATTTCCTTAGCGATTCGGGGTCTCTTCTGGTTCCATACAAATTTTTGGATTATTTGCTCCAGCTCTTTGAAGAATACCGGTAGAATTTTGATTAGAATGAGCCACCCTTATTCTTAAAAGCACACCCAAACCATTGGATGGCATTGCCTTTCTGGTGATCCCTAACCTATTAGCTGAAGAGCCCCTAGGGAAATTAGTTAATGTATGGGGTCCTGGATGTTAAAAAACAACCCATGTTATGTGTAGACTGAGCAATTTCTTAGACTTAAATATGTACGCTAATGTTTTACAAATGCATATACTCACTGCTAGAAAAAGAAAATATAAATTTATATGAGAGAATTATTAAACCAGTAGGTTTGTGTAATTATTTATGTTTAATAAAAACTGAAAGATAATGTGATTTCTCCCAGAGATTCTGCACTATCTAGTAACATGAAAATAAGTTGTTTTTGTTTTTGTTTTTTCACTTGCAAAAAATGCTGTGTATTTTAGTTTTACATTTTGGTTCACTAGCTAGGTCTGCTTTAATGTCATCAGAGGCTGTGCTGTCTTTCAGTGGCTACTCTGCAATTTTATCTTTGTACTAACCCATTTTCTTTTCTTTTAAAGATTTTATTTATTTATTTGAGAGATAGAATGAGAAAGAGCATGAAAGGGGAGAGGGCCAAAGGGAGAAGCAGACTCCCTGCTGAGCAGGGAGCCTGACACAGGACTTGATCCTGGCACTCCGGGATCATGACCTGAGGCATGACCAAAGGTGGTCGCTTAACTGAGCCACCCAGGCACTGCCTATTTTCTTTAAGCATCTTAAATTACACTCTCTGTTCTTATAATGCAGGTTCTGCTCTTTGTTCTTACAATGCAGGTTCTGCTGTTTAGATAATTTCTTTTTTTGTTTGTTTGTTTAGATAATTTCTAATAAAAATTTAATTAAAATGGGATCATGGGGCACCTGAGTGGCTCAGTGGGTTAAAGCCTCTGTCTTCAGCTCAGGTCTGAAGGATCCCAGGGTCCTGGAATCGAGCCCCGCATCAGGCTCTCTGCTCAACAGGGAGCCTACTTCTCTCTTTCTCTCTGCCTGCCTCTCTGCCTACTTGTGATCTCTGTCAAAAATTAAAAATAAAAAAAAGAAATTTAAAAAAAATAAAATGGGGTCATGCATTAAGCAATAGCTGAACTAGCTTTACACATGGAATTATGAACACTCAAGAAATGGACACATAAATATTAAAGCCCTATGCCTTTAGGATAATTTATAGATGGGAGAACTAAAGCAAAGAAAATAGGAGCCATTTGGTATTGTGACCATGATTTACCTAACACCCAACAGTTTTATGAGAACCAGTTTTGAAGGGAGATTTAGTATATAATTGAAGTATTCTATCACAAAAGACCACCTTTAGACTGAAGCAGAAGATGGCTAAGTTTCATCTCTACTCTAGAATATCACCATAGTTATGAGAATGTGACAAGCAACAATATGAAGTTAAGATTAGTATAAAAGCAGTATTAGTACAATAAAGTGCACTCAGCAAGTAAAATTTTATTGGTATAGAAGATAACACAATAAAATAGAATATCTGTGAGATTTGGAGTTATGCAGATAGATATGGCCTCTGAGATTCTCTATTAGTTTGACCTTAAGCACTAACCTTAATTTTCTTAACTATATAGGGCTATAATATGTTCCTTCTAGGTTCATTTTCACCCTTGGACAGGGTGAAAAAAATTTATATTTAATTTAGCCAGCTGGACTATATAGATGATCCCACTTTTGTTGGCAACATCCAAAACATCATAGGCAGTAACATGTTGAACATATGCTTCCTTCTTTCCTTTGGGGCTGATCAGGGTGTTGACCTTGGCCACATCAACATCATAGAGCTTCTTCATAGCCCGTTTGATCTAGTGCTTGTTGGCCTTGACATCCACAATGAACACAAGTGTGTTTTTGTCTTCGATTTTCTTCCTGGCTGACTCTGTGATCATGGTGGAACTTGATGATGGCATAGTGGTCAATCTTGTTTCTCTTGGGGGTGCTCTTTCCAGGATATCTGGGCTGCCTTCAGAGATGCAGTGTCTTGGTCATAGGAAGATGGGTGACATGCAAATCTTTTTTTTTTTTTCTTTTTTTTTCTTTTTTTTTTTTTTTTTT